GGAGAGATTTGAAGGTTATTTACCTATTTCCATAAGTATTTGAAAATCTGGCTATGTTTTAAAACCCGATTACAATTGATAAAATTTTCTAACCCCCCCCCCCCCTTATGAGAAGAGCAAGTAACTTTTTGACACTGGTTTTAAAATTATTAATCCATTACTAATAAACTCTTCTTTGCATTCAAGCAAGTTTTAATGGCCAAACTGCCATTAATATTGTTGAATTAAATGGGTGTAAACTGTAGGCGAGAATCGAAAGTTAGTGTGCATAGTTCTTACAATAATAACAAGAATCTGCAGATTCAGGAATTTTTAAATTGTGAAGACGATGATGGAGTATATCGGAAGAAGGAGTATTTCCTCATAAAAAAAATCTAAATCTCACATTTTCTTGTAGACAGATGATTCGATTTTTTTGACGGGGGGTGGGGGATGGGGGTGGGGGGTTCACATACGACAAAAGAACAAACTTTAAGTAGGGTCTTGGGTAACATTTGTTGGTTTATGTATTTATACTAGAACTATTGATAAAATTCATAATATTAATACATAATTTTTGCCTAGGGTAAAACAATTAGTACATGTAAAATCTTTTAGTGTTTCTTTTTACCCTATATGAAAAGTACATGTATTTAGGTCGTATTTAAATCGAATTAATGGATAACGTCAGGTCTGTAGAAGCATTGGTGGTGATGGTTGTGGAGGGAGGGGCGCTAAGGTATTCGCAATGAATCGCCAGCATATATTGTACTGTTATGTTCTCTCACTAATGACGCCTGTGACCATTTTAATTACTTGTCAAGGGATTTTTTTGGGTTGCCCCTCCCCCCTCCCCCCTCCCCACTCCACCCCCGCACTGAAATTGCTTCCTTGCCTAGGATCTACTATTTTTGAACAGAGTAAAATGCCTTTTATTATGATTTTCAGTAATATTTCTCGTATAAAGAAATATATAAGAAATGTTACCCAAAGATTCTACTCAAAGTTTGCCCCACCCCTTTTATCTGACGTTATATATATATATATATATATATATATATATATATATATATATATATATATATATATATATATATATATATATATATATATATATATAATCCATGAAGATTCTCAGTTTGTTGTTTTATAATGCCAACATTTAAATGAAAAATTAGTATGAGAAAACAACATAGTACAATGTAGGCATATTAAAGTTATTATACATGTACTATTGGTATACATTTTATGCATCCTAAAAGTTGACAGCTAACTCTCTGTTCAATATACAATTGTTTGTTTTGTTCTGTTTATTGTTATTTATGACTATGATTTCGGACATTGTTCATCTTTATGCTCCACTGTGTGCCCAAATTGGTTGAATAAATATTCTATATTCTATTCTATTCTATATTCTATATACGTTTTAATACCCCCCCCCCCCCCGTCAAAAAAGCTTTTAATTTTTTTTCCTGCAATGCGACGCGAAAAACAAGCGTTAATACGCCTTTTTTTAAATTGCTATCATTTGCAGTTCTTTTCTTGCTATGATATGATTTGTTCAAGCATGCGTATTAAAGCTATAAGATAACAATATCATCTATAAGCAGTGGCAGTTGCAGTGGCAGTTGGCAGTAAGCAGTGAGCAGTTGGCACTAAGCAGTAGGCAGTAAGCAGTTGGCTGTCGTATATGGAATTCCATAGAAAGATACATGTACCATCATATTTTTTTCACAGAAGTGGTAAATGACCACTAGTATCCTAGTCTCAAAATTACAGACCTTGTGGCAGGGGACTTCGATGTTCACTAAATATAAGAAGGTATAAAAACTTGAGGGGTTGTATCTGACAACATGTGCCCCACCCTGAAATCAGACCCCATGATAGAGGACTTCGATATTTTCTAGCCCGATGTTTATTCACTTAAGTATTATATTAAGTATTATAAAGTAGCATAAAAACTTGAGGGGGCGGGTCGGGGAAACTAGAGAGGTACATGTACCATCATCATTTTTTTCCCTAGAAGTGGTAAATGACCACTAGTATTCTACCCTCAAAATTTCAGACCCACTTCGATGTCTTCGAGCCCGATGTTTATTAACTTAGTATTAAAAGTAGCATTTAACAATTTCAAATTTCATCAAGGTGAGATGTAATTATTTTTCTTGGTTATTGCACCTATCGTAAAATCATTGTACATTTTTATGGACGAATTTAAGCTAACCCTCGCTTTATTTGCTCATAGAATAAAAAAAAGATGAGGAAAGGTACGTAGTTCATGTTATGAATATTGCATTGTTACATGTATGCCCTGTCTGGAAATGAGCATGAATTGTACATACATTTATGAATATGCCACAACTGATTTTAAACACTGAAGCACATGTAATAATCTGTGTGTCAATCAATATTGTCTTAGACAAATAATTTACATATAAAATATTAATACTATTCAATAAAATAATTTATCAAATAAAATTATTAAATAAAACAAACTAATTGAAATAAAATAAACAATCAGCTAAAACTTCAGATCCACCCCTTGTACTATTCCTACACCTATAATAAGCTACCTGAGTAGAATTCAACTTTCTTTAATCCTATTGGTCAAGACTTTTACCTCCAAATTCTTGACACCAGACAAAGACATTATTCAGACTGCTTTCAAACATACAAGACATGTTCTAGTTATTATCAATAATTTGAACTGTGAACTTGCTACCAGATCCTAATATGTAAGTAACTTATTTACTTCTTCTTATTAACAAAATATATTTCAAAATCTGTGATTTATCTGAAATTAATAAACTAATAATGAAAATATTGAGTGTGCAAGAGTTAAGAGTGAATGTTATTATTATATTACAGTATATAACTGGTGAAGTGCCAGAGATATGATTATATAAAGGTACCAGACACTCTGTTCCATAAACAGGTACATTTCATATTTTAATAAATGTACTTATCATTTTTATATATTCTGAATTAATAAGTGGACTATAAGATTACTTAAAGATTATCATAAATAATGTAAAACAATTCAATATATGTTTCAAGAGAATATATATTAATGTACAAGTATAAATGTAGATTTTTATAAAATGCTGTGAAAAGGGGAGTAACTCTTTCAAATGATGCATATAGTAAGAATGTACTAGTAAATGTGATTCTAATTATATGTATACGAGGGGTTATCAAAAAGTTCGTGGACTAGTGCCACAAAATTAAAACCGCGTAAGGTACATCAATGATTTATTTAACATTTAATAAACAGCATTTTTTCTATCTATATAATTAGCTATAAAGCATAAGATTTATTTTTCAATAACTTGTTAATGTTTTTGTAAGCATTGGTGTGTCCAAGCATCCTCGCAAGCCAGAGGCCCTGAGTCAACACGTTGCCGTCCAACGGTGTCCAGGCGGCGCAACCTCGAACATTGCGGGTTTTTTTTCTACCTGAGTGTGACTGAGGAAAACTTGTTTGATATTCATGAGTATTTGTCATCCAAAAATCCCCTTAATTCACTCATGTGGTATGATACAATTATTCCGTAAAAAATTGCAATTTTAATCTCATTCTGTAAGTTCTATGAAATTTAATCGTAAATTTTATAGTGAATATCCAATCAATTTAGGGGTTGAAAATGACGTCAAAAAGGGAGAGGAATTTCTTTGTCCAACATTCTATAACGTTTCACCTATGCAAAAAACTGGCATAGACCTAGGAAATGTTTGAACGGGCTACAGGGAAATAAAATGCATCCAGAGTACCTATTTTTAAATGCCAAAAAAGATTCCGAGAGAGGAGAGATGCACAGTTAATGTCGATTAGTAGTCCAGGTGTCCAAAGTCAATCACGTCAATATGTAACGTCTGTGGTAGAAACTGAACTTCGACAAGCAAATTACTGTAAACCAACTTTTATTCGCGACGACTTTATTTCGTGATTTACCAAGGGTTAACTAGTTCGCGACGATTAATTTTCGCGATCAAGTCTTTTTTTTTTATCTGTTGTTAATAGAAAGAGAGACTTTAAGGACCGGTTTGCGGCGAAAAATATTCGCGATGACGAGGCTCTTGCGAACCTCGCGAAAATTTCTCGCACGCGAATAAAATTTGGTTTACAGTATGCTAGCATGATGAAGTGAGGATCTTTCCCTCTGTACAGATCCATTTACGATATTATGTGGATTAAAATGAACTGTTCATGACTGTGTAAAGTCATATAAAAAAGTTGGGTTTAGGTCTTCACTTAACTCCAGTGAATATCATCAAAATAAATGTATGAGGTAGAGGGAGCGGACATTGGGAAACAATGACGTTGTCCGACGTCATGAAACTAAACGGCGACAGCTCCGGGTTATCATATAGCCTGACCACAATGTCTTTTTTATTTAATGATAATTTGTCTAATTATCAACGTATCAAGCTGAAATTTTCAACACTTCTTAAACTTTTGTTGTTTCATGTTTCTCATCAATTTTGTAAGCACAGACTACATAGTTTAGTTTTATCGCATCAGTCCACGAACTTTTTGATAACCTTGCGTATTTACAGGGTGATCATTACTGATTGCCAGAATATCATTGTAATTAACAACTGAGGAATAAAAACGACTAACGAACCGCAGGTGTCTTATTGTATTATTATTATCTGCAAGACCCCTCTTACAAGCACAATTCATTAACTGATTATTCTGCCATATTTAGATGAAACGTTTTAAAAATGGTATACCTTAATTTTATCCAAGAGGTTTTAAATTTTTACGAACAAAGCGTTAATCACACTCGAATAAAAACTCGCATTCGAGGCATATTAACTGGTATTAGTGCTACCCATTGCTTGTCGAAACTAGCAAATTTTAAGCACAAAGTTAACATCAATGACGATGTCATCAAACGACAGAGTAAACGACGTTTTAACCTCAATTCAACGTGTTATTGAACGTAACACTATACCCATGCAGTGAACTGCATTCAAAAAACTTCAACGATTTCGTAGTGCGGAAAGTGGAAACAGAAATGCGTTTGTTGAACATTAATGTGAGTTGTGTTCAAATCGTGGAGAAATTTGACAGATTGGGACGAGAAAGAAACCCTGAGTGGAAGATAAGTAATTTTTTGCCTGTGTACACTGGAAGTTATTCAGAGGGAATGCCAAACTCTAGCGACACGGACAGACTATTGATAGCAAAATGGATAAACGTTCAGGAAGAGGGTTCTATTATTCCTGATGTAAACGAAAACTCAAAGCATGATACCATGAATTTATTCTATACAACAGAAGACTGTCATTTCGGATATATTAAAATCGTTATATCGAAGGGAATCAAGCATATTTTTAGTGACGCTCAAATTCGAAGGTACAAAAGAGTTTCATATTTAAGAAGCGATACCTTTATCCATGATATGAAAACATGGATCGGTGCCCCGCCACTTTCGGAGCTCCAAGGACCTTCAATCACATACAGCGGGTACGAGGGTTTCTCTTACGATGATGTTTACGGTGTAAGGATATCTGGGTGGCCATCTCTTGCGAAAGACACACTGGACAGGTGCAATCAGAGAACAAAAATTGTTTTACAGACCTCTGATGTATACGCAGTTCCAGTCGGATATACCCTCAGTAAAACAAATGACATAGAATGGAGGTTATCTTTTACAATGGCAGAAAAAGTCTTAATGAAAAAATGGTCTAAAACTCATTTAAATTGCTATTATTTATTGAAACAACTGAAAACGATACATCTTGCCGACCCTGATTGTCTCAAATCATATCATATTAAAACTGTGTTGTTCTGGATGACAGAAGTCTTACCTATAACATACTGGTGTCGAGAAAACCTTCTCAAGTTATTTGCCAAATCGCTACATATCCTTCAATGGTTCCTTTTTCAGCATTGGTTACCAAATTATTTTATTCCAGAGAATAACATGATTGACCATAAATCAAGAGAGGAATGCCAGAATGTGTCTATTAAGATATCCTCTTTGTTAACAGGCAAAATGGAACTCGTTATTGCAGAACTTTTATGTGAAGATCGGATCGAGGAAATTTACGAATTTGTAGGCTTAAAAAGAAGTGTTTTACCACCCCGTACTACTAAAATTTGTATACTAATTGAGAAATATATTCAGACTTTATATGCTGAAATCTCAGGAAATTTGTTAGATGAAGCAGACAAATTAAGTTCTTTGACTATGTGTACTATAGAGAATTTGTGTCAGTGTAAGGCAATGGAGGAAATCATTCAAGACCTGCAAAATTTCTTAACAAAGGAGGTTTCGGGGTCATTTTCAGTAATCCTACGTCGACAAGTTGCAGATTTTTATCACTCCCAGAAAACAAGGCAGTCTTACGAAAAGGCAGAGAAACTGTACAAAGATTGCCTCTCTCTTAGATATCCCAGTGGATTTGATGACAATTTTATTTCTGGGGTAGCCCACCTTGCGTTTTTCTATTACCTGAATGGCAACTTTATTGCTGCGCTGGACTCGATAGAACCAACTCTGGAAACCATCAAACAAAGCGTCAAATCAGAGACGACATGTGGCTTCCTTCATACTGCCATACCCTTTAATGTGTGGAGTGATAGAATTTTGCATGACATCTTGCAATCTCTGTCTTTCTTTTATCCATTGTACATGAATGTGATTTCACTAATTCTTTATGTCGCAATAAGATCTCTCCTCGTCTTGTTTGAGCCACAATCCAAAGAAAGGGAACTTTTACAGTTGACTGAATTGTTTGTCCAATGTGGACTTCAGAATTTAAACCCCTGTTTATTGGATACCTACAACTACCTGATATGTGAAATCAGGAAACTTTTGCACTCTTGTTCCATCCCTACACATACTTTATCACCTTACACGATGCCCCAGATTGCTACAAGAACAGAGAGGCTGAAAAATTACCACAACTGGAATGAAAATGGACCAAAATAAAAATGGTTCTGCTTTGGAAATTGTCGAAGAACATCAAAAGGATTAAAACACATCTTACAATGTTCATCAATTATTATTCAGCTATATATTTTATCTGTCTCATCAATAAATTTATCTTTTAAATGCTCTTTGCATGTTTATTTGGTAATCGACGGTCCTTGAAAATATTTAAAACCTCGAGTATGATGTGGTGAAATACAGGTATGTATCGTTTCTCCTTTTCATAACAATGACGATGAATTTATTCTCATAAAACTGGCATAAAGTACAGTGTAGAGACAAATTACAAGTATAGTTTTTAAAATATATGCAAGCGTGAAAAAGAAAAAGAAGTTCAAAGACAAAAAAAAACTAGCAATACTATGAGCTTACCAGGACAGCCAACTCTCTCAATGATACTTTTTATAAATTTCCATAGTTTTATCAATTTATCTTATTTTTTGTATTTAAAAGTTGTTCAACTTAATACATGTTTGCATATAAATGATGATGATAATCTTGATTTCAAAATAAATGGATCATGAAAATTAAATAAGTAAATAAATGGTATTCAACACAAATTTCATTTTTCGAACATAACTCACAAAGGTGTGTTCCGCGAACGGCTACTCGCCAAAAACAACAAGTAATTATCACACTCAATTAAGGGGCCCTATAAGGGGTACTGGTAGATTTACCTGTGTTTACCTGGATAACCAATTTTTGATAAATCAAATAAAAATATGAAATTTCATTTTTTTCTATTAAATTTAAAAAAAACCCAAAGATTTAAAAAATAAATTTAAACGAAAAAAAAAAAAATCAAAATATTATCAAAACATATTTTATACATTGCTATGTAATATTAAACTTTTGATATTATGGTACGTTTAAATATATTTTTTTCAAAGTATTAAATATTCTATTGATGGGGAATTTTTTGAACTTGAAATGAGGGTCCAATTTTTTCTCAAGTTTTTTTTTTAAATACATTGCCTAATGTATGACTTAACTGCCACAAGAAAAAGAGGGGGGGGGGGCAGCCTTTCAGTAAACATTTTCAATAGTATATTGTTATGTTTGGAAAAAAGTGGGGGAGCAGCCTCCCTCCTGTCCCCCTGTAACTTCGTGCCTGGAAGTTATTACTTGTCAAGGTATTTCCAATTTCCAGTGGTGTCATATGTTTTTGCCAAAACTGTTATTAATTAATTATTAATTTAAATTTTTTGCTTAGAAATACATCTTTTGGAAGAATGCTTTTCAATAAGCATAAGAAAAAAAATGTTTAGAAAAATAATTTTTAAAATTACTACTTTCTTTTTTTAATCAACAAAACTCTTTAAAAGATGTTGCTTAGGACAAGAACTCCTTCTCATATACCGTATAACGGGTATTTTCTGCGGTTGTCCAATTTTTGCGGAATTTTGCGGATAGGACAAATCCGCAAAAATTACAATCGCAAAATATTTTTCAATATTTCTTCAGATATATATTTTATACACGCAATTATAATAAGTTGTGCGTATGTCACAGGATTCTCATTAACGCAAGAAGCTGCGTACTGGACGCAGCAAAATTATTTGGGACGCAAGGTTCTTAAAAACGATGCGTCCGCAGACTCATGAGTGGACACGTCCTCGTTAGCGAGAATATTCGGGTGTCATCGAAAGTCGAAGATTTTAGATGTCACTCAGGATTTGTCCAAAACATATTGAATCAAAACGGTCCTGTAAATAATATCAATTTCATAATTTTATACAAAAGATCTTTTCTTGTACCTATTTCTTTATTTTATACGGATATGCATGTAGGCCTACATGTAAATGACTAAAAGAGATTTCGCAATTATTCGCCCAAACTCCGATAGCTGCAAACAACACATATTAGCTTTTCTTTCTTTCTTTAACACTTTTTTTCAATCTTGTGTTTTATCTTGAGACCATAATTACTGCTTGTATACACAATGTGGCTTGATTGTCTCGTGAATTTCACTCAATGCAGACGACTGACAGGATTAGTTACGCTTCATTGCACATGGCACCTGTGATTGTATACGGTCAACTTTAGGTTACCTGATTATGCAACTGTTTGTTTGAGCTTAAAATATAAACACCAGGTTAATTTTGATGGCAATTAAGTATAAGTGTATTTTTAGAATATGGCTTGGATGCATTAATTATCTATATATTTAAATATTTTAATAGATCGCATAAAACGTTTGTTACAATGTAGAATAAAGATTTTTATTGTTGTTTGGGTGGACTGATACTGTAATAATTCATTTCAATTGGGACTCGACATAATTGTACAAAGACTAACTAAAAGATAGTAGTTTAATTAAGCGAAATAGCTTAATACCAGTTCTCATGCACCTTTGATCAATATGCCTCAATGAATTTATAAAACGTAAACATGGCAGCTATCTGATAATTCTTAGAGTTTGGTGATCATACCCAGTATATATTTTTTTGCGGTATAATGCAACCGCAGAAATTGAAAACGCAGAAATTAATTTGCTATCTTTTAGGGGTTAAATCGCAAAAATTTCCAACCGCAGAAAATACCCGTTATACGGTATCTTCATTCAGACATTTTATTTATTGTATTTCTAATGTAAAATGGTTCCTTGATATTCACAGTTCAAATATATTTACAAAGTAACAATTATTTTGGACCTTTAGCATTTTTATATAACATATTTATATAACATATATAACATATTTGGAAAGTGACAATTATTGTTGGAACTTTCAGCATCCGAATTATCCATTCGAACCAGTTTTAATATAATTTTTTATAATGTTGACTAAAAATGAACGTTTTTTATGCTGAACATACACTTTTTTTTATGTCTTACGTCTTAGAAAAGGTATGACAAATTATATATCTATTGCAGTTATTGATTAATTAAAACTATACTCAGTGAAAATAAATGCAGTTTTTCTACTTTAAAACCCAAAGGTAGAAATACCTTAACTGTACATCCTCAGATAGAAATCGAAGTTATTTAACAGCAAAAATAAATAAATAAATAAATAAAAAATAAATAGTAAATAAAATAAAATAAAATAGATAAATAAATTTAAAAAAAACTACAGGATATATTGAACTAAAAATGACTTGATAGATTGTTCTGTTTAAATATACACTTAAATTCAGGTAATTTATTTCATACAGGTAAGTCTACCTGTACCCTTTAGAGGGCCCCTTAATTGGGTGTTATAATTAGATGTTGATTTTAGCGAGTAGCCGTTCGGGGAATAAGCCCTCACAAATTCTGATTTCTATGTACATTTTTCCATCTCCCAACTTCTGTTGGTAATTTAGTATTAAATGTTCTATTACAAGTTCTATATTGATAATAGAATATTGATAATAAAGAATGGTGGAAAACAATAGGTCTACAATCTAAATGTCATAATTACTCAATAATTTTACAATCATAGACAGTTCAAGGTCATTAAAGATCAATATCTGGTATGCCCCCCACAGGCACCTATGATAGCCTAAAACGTCATCCCAATTGACGCAAATGGAAGAATTTTAATACTGTATGGAATGCTATTCCACTCTCAATGTAGAGCTTTGGCCAGTTGTTGCCGAGTCTGAGGATGCGATTGTCTTTGGCGCATTTGTCTGTCCATTTTGTCCAATGCATACTCATTGGGGTTAAAATCTGACGATTAAGATGGCCAAGGATGCTCTGGCTTTGCAAGAATGCGCTTGTGAAACGAGCCTAATTTGACTGTGTATTGTCAGATTGAAATACGGCTCCAGGATGCTGTATTATTGGAAGGACATGTGTAGGTAGAACAATATCAGAGTACTGTTGTACCATTAAAGTCCTTTAATTTATAAAATATAAACAAAATCAGCCCTACTTGTTTGTTACATTTTGTCCAGCTCTGTGTTTTATAATATACCGTTTTCCACATCATTACACTACCACCACCAAATCTATTAACCTCCTGGAGGCAGTTTTCTGTAAAACGTATATTACGAAGCTTATGCACTCTAGCTGACTCTTACATCAGGCTTTGCAATAAACATTTGGACTCGTAGCTGAACCAAACTGTTCAACGGTGTTGTTGTGGCCCTACTCTGAGACCTTTGAAGTCGAATTTGCCGTGTTGTGGGGTCAGAACAATGGCATGAATCAGTCCTCTGGCGATGATTCCAGCATCCCGTAGTTAATTGGAAACGGTCTTGTTAGATATTCTGTGCAGTTCAGGGATAGCTAATGCTATAGACGACGTTGGGAAACGTTGATGAAAATTACGCAAACAACTGAAAGGATTCTATGCTGCTGATGTCACGCATGATCTGCCGTATTTTTGGCGATTTTGTCGTACCATTGCCATGCTGTTGGTATCTGTTTTACAGGTTAGATATGGTGCTTTGTGCAACGTTAAAACCTTTTGCAATTGTAGACTGTGGTACACCTGACCCAAGTCGTTCAATTTCCTTTTTTGCAATAATTGCAACATTCAGATGCAGCACTTTTAAATAGCGTCAATTTTCAGAAAAAAAAAATAAGAATCAAAATATCGACACCCCAGCTTTTGATGGCCCTTTGGTACCTGAAGAATGTGGATTAGAAACCGTGTCAAAAAGACCAAATTAAAGCATTTTACAAAATAATTTTTTTCTCTGTGAATTTTGTAGAATGGCTGTCAAGATAACAATAGCGTTAAAAAAAAATAATGCATTAATTCGAATTTATCATATCCATCTAAAAACAATTGTATGAAAAAAACTACATGTATTTTATATTATTTAGGGTATTAAAAACTATTATTGCTATTGTGCGGTTTTTTCTTGCATTCGTACATTTAGTACATTAAGTATTATGGAATTAATGATATCATTTTTGTTATAACGAATTCAAATTATTGTCACTGTAGATACATGTAATATTGAGTAAGAAATTAAATAATTTCTGTTTTAGTCAATGAGTATTATTTTGCTGATATTTAAGTGATAAAAATATATATACTGACAAACGCAAAAGCAGTTAACTACAAATATTTGAGTTTTTTATCTAATAATTTTCAAAAATGAATACAGTAAGGTATAACTCGATTTTAAAACAACAGAGATTTGATAAAAATGTTGAATGATTATTTATTAACTTTAGAAAGTAACACTGTCAAAACACCCCCTCCCTGCCATTCAATTACAGCACGCAAAACTGCCATACACAACAATTGCAGCTTGATTTCTACGATGCATTAGGTTTATCAATCTCGAGATTTGAGCGAAAGAAATATTCTTTGGCATTTTAAGTGCCTGTTTTTCAGATGTTTCAGAGCTGTTTTTCGAATTTTCTCGAACCTAGTGCAGTGTAGTACCCTTGGACTTCCTGTCCACGGACTGTCAATCATGCTAATGATACGTATGAGCCTGTTGAGGCGTGATGTGGTGCATATTTGCATCTGCAACTCTACATCACCTTTATTTTGAGAATGTCCAGTTAGAGCAATGGAAATGCGTACTTTTCAGGAAGCCTTGTCATCGCTTCTGGAAAAGAAAGGAGAATTTATTTTTCAGAATATTGCTGCATTACTTATGATGAACAGATACAAACCCTTAAAACTCCAAATTATTGCCAAATGTTTTGATTTCTGTTAAGCGGGCTCAAAGTTAACTTCCGGTATTTCCCCCTGAAATAGGATGTTGCGTTTCAGTATATTTAATCGACATGAATACCCAGGATTTAAACTGGCATATATATGAAAAATAGAGAAGTAACGACAGTAAAATGTTGAAAACTCAAAGAGGATATTAGTAAAATAAAAAAATATAGAAAAATAAATAACTCGGTATAGTTTTCAGCTGCATTGGTAACATTATTGTCATATTGTAATTTTTGAATTTACCGGGTGGTAGTAAATACAAAAATTACATATTTTAATTTTTTTTATTTACTACCACCCGGTAAATTCAAAAATTACAATATGACATTATTAGTTCTTCTTACTTACAAGGGTGTAATACAGACTTATATCATCAGTGTATTTACTGAAATCTTCCATAAATCTATACATCTGAGAAGAGTATGGACTTGCTGGTAGAGACAAAGAGCCTTACTGTAATTAGTCTGCTAATTACAAAGTTAATCACATTTTGCGATTTAAAATAGATGAGGAAATGACTTCTCACGCTAAATTTCGTGCTCCACCCCGCCAATCTGCTTAGCATGACATTCTCAGAGAACGAGCACAAAGAACTCAGAATTCCAGGAACACTGAATGTTAAGTACTGATCACAACAGGTTTGTCACATTACACAAATGGTTTAGGGTGGTGGATGAGAATAGGATGACAGTGCAGTGAGCCGGGGATCGGGATATAACAAAGGTAATCATTGCAGAATTCTAGTACGGTGAGGTAAGGTATGCAATAATAATAATTTTTTATAAGTTTCTTGAGTGTAAATTAAATCTAGAATTGGTATATGTGCAGATATGATTAAAGCAGCTAGTCCGTGCACTTAAAGGATTGCGTAGTGTACTGAAACACTCAAAATTTGCAGAGACTTGTTACAATGATTGAAAAATCTTTAAAAAAATCTAGAAAGCAAAGAAATTATATTTTTATTACTTATTATCAGCAAAGACTTCTTTTTTTTATAGCTGAAGTTACAACTCTTCGATCAACAAAAAATGGCGAGTTATACTTTTCTAATGGATGTTGGAAACGCATCGGTCAGTTTTTTTCTTGAGTAAATTTCATATAAATAGAACATTCAATTTATAAGGTATTCAATCTCACATATGCAGAAAAAAATCAACTCATATCTGTTAATGTAGATCATGTTTTCTCTGCAGCTTACGGACTCGGAAGTTTCTTCCATGGTGAAACTTTCTGTAACCGGAAGTGGCTTCTCATTGGTCGGAACCATGTTGTCTTTGTGCTTGATTTGTTTTCTACCGTATGTAGAGTTTTTTCCTTCATTTTTCTTATATGTAAACAAAAAATTACAAAACATGAACGAATAACTGGATAAAGTGTTCTTTGCTTGATTTTCAGAGTTGCATCAGACGGCATGTTTATTCTTATAAATATGAACGTTTCACTAATTGGTGCTCAGCTAGCATTGATCGGTGCAGAGAATTCCTTTCAAAGCAAAGTTAGTATTTCATAGCAAATTAAAACTACTTTGAAATATTTTCAATTTACTCTCGTAATCTTTTTTTTAAAATTTGCTGCATTGTTTTCAGCATGCCTCATTGATGCTGATATTGTAGTCAAGTAAATTTTAAAGCCAACGATTTTAATGTATTTTTTTTTTAAATATTAAAATTTTCAATGTAATGATGTACATGTTTGGTAACAAGAGTTTTCAGTGCAATTATGAATCCCACGCTGGGTGACTTTTATGTGAAAGTGCTATTCAACCCAGACAGACAGACAGCAGACAGAAAAAGATTCCTACAAGTGCAAGTGGATGTACATGTCTAGCTAGCTAGACAGGCGACAGGATGTATATTTACTATATTCAGGGTTATTTTCAACCCTTGTTATTTTCACCCTTTCACACTTTAAAACAATTTTGCCCTGTTTTCAATTTGCCCATAGTTGTAATTAAGAGACAATGCTGTTTTTATTTTAATTCGCACCGTTTTAAATTCGTCAATTGCGACGAGGGCGAAAGGGCAATAATAAATTGGGGGCGAAAATTTCTTTATATACAGTATTTCAGATGTTATTTTTTTTCCAGCTGGTGTGTAGGACAGCTACTGCTGTGATTCATTATTTCTTCCTCACTCTTCAATTTTGCTCTCTGTCTTATGGACTCCATTTACTCTCAAAGGTAATAATCAGTAAATACACACTTATTACACATCTTTTGCTTGTTCTGAACAATCCTTTTGTACTGGTCACCTTTGAATGAAATTATGTGAAGATATGTCGAAAATTCATTCTTGTTCCAGTAACTTTTCATTCTGTTGGGAAGTGTCGTAACACAGAAAGGATTGATAAATTTCAACTAGTATTCTTAAAAATAAACCATTTCAATATAATTTTTGAATGACTATTTAAATACACGGTAAGTTGCGTACTAAAACTGATCATGGACGCATGAAAACGTACAAAAGTTGGATACAAGATCTGAACTCAATTATAAGTGCTTCATTTTAACGACCGGATGTCTATTTTAAATGGGTATCATTCCAGCTGAAGTCACTGGCCTTCATGGAGAGGTGCCACAAGCGTGTGACGGCCCTGTTTATCTGTTGGGTGCCCGCCATGGTAGTTGTGGGATTGACGGCGGCTCTGAGGGGGGACACCTACGGAACAGGATCACTGTACTAATTTGTTGATCTGTCATCAGTAGAGTTTTATTAATTGTTTACTTCTCAAAAAAAATTATTTTTGATATACTTGTTTTTAATGGTACATCGAGTATATATAAAAACAATGTCATATTTTAGATGCTGATTTAAACTAAGTTTGATAACTCTGAAAATGCTTGAAATATTGACAGATATTTGTGTCAAGAAAAAAATATATCGAGATCTTGCTTCAGATGCTGGTTAACGGCTGAAAAAGGAACTCGCTGGGCATTTGTTGGTCCCACTCTAGCCATACAGTTGGTGGGTTCAAGATCCCGTAATCTTACCATCGAAAGTTCAAACATTTTTTTAATTTAAATTATTCATTGAATAAAAAAAAATGTATACAATATTATATAAATCGAGACAAAATTCGACTTGATTTTTTTCCCACTGTTTAATATGATTACGAAATTTTCATTTTTTATTAGGTCAATCTAAATGTATTTGGTTTAATAATGACCACAAGATTTGCAATGGATGTCAAAAGGAACTTTGGATTCAGACGTGTTGCAAAGTGAGTTTAATTAAGCAACAAGAAAAATTAACTTATAAATGCTAAATACTGAAAACTTTGAGAAAATTTAAAGAGATATGTAAGACATCTGAAAAATATAATTATATATCTTGTCATATCTAAGGAATGGTTAGTACTGTATACAAGGAAATTTTCGCCCCTTTTGCCATCGTCGCAAATGGACGAATTTAAAACGGGATGAATTCAAGGAAGACAGCATTATTTCTTTAATTGCCAATCTTTCTGAGCGAATTTACAACGGGGCAAAATTGTTTAAAATTGAAAAGGCGAAAATAATTCTGTATACAATATTAAAAACAATTTTTATTAGACATACCTCAAGTAAATCATAAAATTTGCAGCTTCTGTGTAAATCAAAGCCTTGGGAATAGCATTTCAATTCACACGACCATATCTTTTCATTACTGATTTACCTCAATAGGCAGTCCTTTAATATAAAATTGACCTTTAACCTAACTCTTGTATGTATGGTGCGCTTTTGTTTAAAGAAATGCTATTTTTCAGTGTTCTAATTCTTTCTAAAGTACAAACAACGTGAAATGCATTGTCCTTTATTTGGTTTGGGTTATCTTCGATATCTGTTTGCTATATTGGTGTGTATAGACACTAAATATTTGAATGTTTAAAGGTATAATGACTGGGTATATAGTAATGATAGGGTGAAATATCAGTTGATTTATCATGACTATCTGGTGTCGTATTAGGAACCAACTCTTGACTGCAATGTCCCTTATCCCTGTCCTTGGCCTCATGTGGTCCCTTGGGCTAGCCACAACATTTGGAATCTCCAGGACCACCCAATACGTATTTGTGGCCCTGTGCTCCACTCAGGTATGTGTTATACAGAAAGAGTAACAAGATATGTACAATATGTGGCTTAATTGCTTACAAGTTTTCATATCTTTAATGCCATTTTCTTCTCCATACAATTTTGGGGTTATTCTCCAATATTTTATTGAAACCTTGGAATTATTTAAATCATGAAACTGTAACAATAAAGTATTGTTGCTTATAAATACTCGTATAAATATACGTTTTTTTTTAATTTTCTAAATTTTGTCCTATAGGGAATGTGCATCTTCCTTGGTCACGTGCTGACAAATAGTCACGTGAGAAGGTTGCTGTGCATAAAGATAAAACCGGAAGAAGATAACGATGAGGACGCCTCGGTGACCAACGAAATTAGTAATGAGGTCACCTACGTATCTCAACTCTCTGAAATGAGGGAGATGCCTAGAGGTAGGTACGTATTTATAATGAAACTAAACTCAACAAAAGTAGGGCTGTTATAATTTTACTTTAATTTGGTTTCAGTGAGGATTTGTGAACTAGTGGTATATATCTATCACACCATCTACAATATATGAAAATATATTAGAGAAAAGTAACTATACAAAAACATTCAATAAGGACTTTGAACTCAGTATAGAGACATGCTCACTATAATAACGTTATCACAGACATTAACACAATTGCTGAGATAGCCTTAAATTAAGTGCTAGTCACACGGAAAAGTGGTTAATACCATCCTCGTGTAGAATCCTGAACAGAACCTGGGATTAAATGGTCTCTCTATTGAGAGAATAATGATTCTGTATATTAAATGTTTGTAGGAAGTTAATTGTGAACTGGGTTAATTGTGTTGTAAAAGTCACAATATAGATTTAAAGTAAGTTTTATACCCAACGACTATACAATGTTGGTGTTTCTACTTCACTTGATGTAGAGAAGTATTTACAATGTATATGTGAGTATTAAAATCTCTCTGGTATATAAATCTTTAAAAAAAAAAGTAGCATTAAACACTAATGATGAAACATACTGTTGTAGCTTAACAAACAACGAGAAAGAGAGGGAAGTCGAGAAAGAAAGAAGTCTGTCTGAAACGGACATACAGGTCTCTCCTAAGAACCTGCTTAACGTTCCCGAGGGAAAATGCCGACAACGAACGCCAAGACACAGCCTAAAGTAACATCATTATTCTAAAATATCTGTTGTGTAATGTCAATTTTTTTAATTATTATTAATACATCAAACTATATCATGTATTTTAATTGTGTGTATGTAACACTACGATAGAATGAGAAATTTCCATTTGGTATTGTTCATCAAACACATTTAAAAGAGATTCTTAAGTGTTAAAACTAAGCTAAAAAAAATTAATATTGATGATTTTTATTTTTCCTCTCAAACTTATTTTTTACACAGCAAAACATGTGATAGACATGCTGTAGCGCCTGTAATGGTTTTGTCATTGTTAATTGAATACCTTATACCTTGTACTTTCAATACTGTTTTAGCAACACACAACGTACAAATCTCGAAGACAACTCAGTAAGTAAGGTTTGACCTTACGAAATCATAAACGAATTCAGCAGCCCTTTTCATGTAAAATATGATCAATACATGATCAAAAAACAAAAAAAAAAAAAAAAAAAAAAAACACACACACACACACACACACACACACACAAACAAACAAAAAGAAGTACCAAAAATGACAATAAATACACCTTAAATTGTCCACTCTCAAATTCTTACTATTAAATCCGACATCCACCTTCTTTCTTCTTTAGTTTTGCAATTAAAGTGTAAATTGTTGTTTTCAATTGCAATTTATCTTAAAATAAAGTAGAATTGTGTTTTTAATCGCAATTTATCCTAAAATGAAGCAGAATTGATGTTATAATTGTAATTTCTTTCTTAAATATAGCTGACTTGACACTTTAAAAAAACATTCTTCTTTAACAGATCCAGTTTCTAATTTTACTGAGCAGGCTAAGCCTTCATGTGTCCATTTCTCATAGAAACGGTACACAGCTTGTAATTAAGCAATGTACATTTATATTTCACATTGCATTTATTTATTTATATTTGAGGATATTCAGTTATTCAAATATTTTGCTCCTTGCTGGTTTAGTCCAGTGTTCAGTAAAGCACAAACAAACATCTTCAATATTTCTAGAAAAGTAAAATTCCTTCAATACTTAATATTATAAGATATCATATATTTTAAGATTGTTTAATGTACAATTCATTTAATTGTTTTACCGAATTCATAATTTTTACATGTACGTACGATTGCCAAAGTGCATGGAACATTACTGTGATTGTGGTATTGCTTATAACATTCGTACTTTATTTTAGAAATATTTTTAAGCGAAATGGAATTTTTCGAAACGCATAGCATGCATGTTTCTTAATTTTATGAATATAAAGTATTTAATTACATTTCAAAGTAATTGACCCCAACCCTGATATATAATACAATTATGTAATGTACTTCCATAAACCATCGTGATTATTAAAACTGACACACTGAACTAGTGTACATGTATGTTTTACACAATGTGATTGTGACTGTGTAAAAATGAATGTTGAATAGTTTGTGTGAACAAGAATAACAATTTATTTAGAATGCTTTAAATTAAATTAGAATTGTATGACAGAGAGCTGAAATGTTTAAGACTAGATGTTGACTACATGAAGATATAAATGTTTAATACCACTATTATAATGTTATGAGTCATAGAAAGTGAGCTATGTTTATTGTAGTATCAATGTGAATATTGGAATTAAAGAACAAATGTTTCAGTGTATTTAAAGTAACGCCATTGTTTTAGTGCTTCTTATGTTTATAAGATACCAACGTGTTCGATTTCTTTAAATTTTGAAACACAAAAATACATAAATGGCGAATGTATTGAACATTATTTATTCACATGTGTTCTATCAAACTTTCCTATATCTTAAAATATGTATACTATGGACATATTATATTGTTTCTGTACCTTTAGTTGTTTATCATTCAAATAAATTAATTTGACTGCATATATAAATCTTATACTTGTAGAAAGTACACTCTTCCTCTTATCTTTGAAACAAAAATCTACAGTGTGAAAATCTCTGAAAAACAAAATAAAAATATTAAATAAAAATAAATAAATAAATAATGGGAACGCAAATTCATAAAAAAATATTGATCAGATCGAATATACTGGTAAATACATGGACCTAAGAAACTGCAGTGGAGGCTCTGAGACTATTCTTCACCCAATTTACACAATTTATAGGTAATGGTTTATATGTTTGTTTGTTGTTTAACGTCTCTCTCAAGAATTTTTCACTCATATGGAGATGCCACCACTTGCCGGTGTAGGGCTGCAAATTTATACCTATGCTCGGCACTTATAGGGCCATTGAGCAGTGAGGGATCTTTTTCGTGCCAACACCTACTGTGACACGGGACCTCGGTTTATACGGTCTCATCCGGAGGTCCGGTCTCCATGTCCCGCAATGAATTATATGAGAGTCCTTGATCCTGTGCATCCATACTCATTGCCAAAAGACAGCAAATCTTTCAATGCAATAAACTTATTAAATTGCACGAGACTGACAAAAGGGTCAAAATAGAAGTGCAAAATTTACAAGATAGGTGCAGGCAAAAATAGATAAATAACACCTTGGCACACGTCTGACAGTTTGTTATCTTCTGTAGCGTCACTTTACGTCACGTGATATGGTATAGGAAGTCAACCATAGATCACATGATGAAACCGCCACAGCAGATCGGTAACTGATATCGGGGTTTGTGGCCCTATCTGATGGCGTGAAGGCACTAGTTCAGTGACTACTAAAAGCATTGGAGAGATAAGAGACGTACTACTGTTCTTTGCGATCCCCTACTGAGGTTTCAATCTTGTCACAATCTTTAGCAGAAGCCAAGAATCGTTTGTCCCTAATGCATGATGATGCAAAAAGAAACTTGAAGAGATAAAGTATTTCAAATTTCAAAGGTGTACGTTCCAAAAATAGTAAGGGCTATTCTTTTAAGATCTTGTAAAATAGTCAAATCACCACAACTGTTTCTGCCTTCGAAGAGACTAATATTCCTCACAATTAAACCCTCTGTAAACATCAAATATGGGACAAGAGGATATGCAGATGGACATAGCAGAACGATGTGATAGTGTGAGTGACTTTGTATCACCAATGTGGAAAATCAAAGGAAAATCTCGCAAACAGCGCAGTAAGAAAATGCCACCACCCATCCGTCCGTTCTCTGTGATTGGGTCGTCCAACTCGGATGAGCTCCACGTTGACTTGCCCGCACGTCCAGAAACATCATTTCATAAAGTCAATACTAACTTTTTGATGACTTCTAATGGCGAAGGTGTCTCCGTGTTGGATTTCCAGGACGACGAGAGGCCCCTTTCTCCGGCAGAACATCCTCGTTTTCTATCCGGGAGCCATCTGAGTCAGTTTCATAGTTTAAAGACGTACCAGGTCCACTCGCGGACACCACACTGGAGGCGCCATATTGAGGCCCAATCCAAACCTGTTAACGGAGAACACTCCACCATGAAAATTGTGGAAACCACAGAGAAATGGTTGGCTCTATATGATGACCTTTACCGAGCAACCGTCTGACGTCGTCCATCGCTCCATTATTCCCGTGTTCATTTGTGTTTCTAACACAAAAACATGATAGAAAACAGGCACCTTTGTCGCACAGACAAGACAGTACCATTGCCATGATACAAAGACTGTAATACAGTCTTATATGAGAGCAATATTGAGAGAAAATATATCAATAATGGATCCGATGGTTTTTCCAAAAAAAAAAAAAAAATGCCAACATAAAATTTCATATATAATTACAATTTGTTGTCACGTCACCTTGTGAGGCATTTTAAGTCATTTTATTTATTTATTTATTTTTTTACAAAAGTTTCTATTTGAATTTCGTAAACAGTACTTCATTCTTTACATGTACTTGAAATAATGGATATATTACAGTTGCTTTTGGAGAGCAAACCTTTAAGCACTGGAGAAAATTAGGAATTTTCATGCATGTAAGTCTGTATCAACAATTGTCATTTTTTAACTTTTATATAAGTGGTTGTCAAATTTATATACATGTAATGAATTTTTGTACAGTATAAATTTATCTAAATGTATATCACTATGATTTGTAAAATTTCTTATGATTTTAAAGGATGCAATAAATAATCATAAATCTTTTTTGTCCATCTATATTTCTTTTAATGTAAGAACGTAAATCTAGGCAAAATACACAATTTTTACGTGAATTAATGAAGGAAAAAAATGTGCATTAAATGTATGTGTGTATATACAAGTTTTTTTGATAATAATGTGGCTTCCTTTTAAACTAAGCTAGAGATGAGTATCGTTTGCTTTAACGTTGTCGGAAACCAATTATTCTTTCACAGCTGCACAAAACTTGATTTTCATGCTGAATTAATATTAAAAAATAAAGAAAGTTCCCTAATTAAAAAAAAATTCTCTCAGGGGTTAGAACAATACTTGCTTATGAAAAGGACTGCAACAGCATTTCCAGTTGAATTGAAATAAATAATGATCAACTGTATTATTTTTAAAATCCTATCCAAGATTCTTTATGTGCAAAATTGATACTATAGCAATTTACTATATCATCAAAGAAATCAAAGCAATTTTTTTTTAATTTTTAAAGATCAATTTGATATAGAATTTTCATTTTTTGAATTCCAATGTTTTCTGATGACAGAAAAAGAGCCGTGAAGTATTGAAAAACAATTTTTTTACTTCAGTTTCGAAAACATTTTTTTTCTTCTGATCGTGATGATAAAGCACAAGTTATAATTAAACAGTTAGTAAAGATGAATGAGCATATGAATGCATTGCTTTTATAGATCACATACTTTTTCAAATTATCACCGCTCAAAGATGTAGTTGACCAATGTGATAACTACCTCCTTAACTGTTGTCACGTCACCTTGTGATCACGGTTACATTAGTAAGGTTGTCTTTGGTTGCGTGCAACAAAAATTATTAACGTGGTTGTTAATTCATTGATAGAAACCACTCTAAAGAGCTCGACAACAACAACAAAAAGAGAAAATGGTTTATATATATTATTGTGCCAGCTGTGGTCTACCTTTTCTGCTTTTTAATTTGGACTCACAAAGAT